AATCATTATTGCAATAATTTAGACCTTCCTATATTTATGAACGGTAATGTATGTGATGAGTCATCTACCCTTTATCTTCTAGGATTAACTCTTACTTCTGATTTTTCTTAGAAACCATATATTAAATCCGTTGCAAAATTAGCACCTGCTAAAGTTGCATGTCTTTATCAAGCTCGACACTTTCTTACTCTGGATTCTATTCGCTATCTCTATAAATCTCAAATCCGGCCTTGTATGGAATACTGTTGCCATATCTGAGGTGGATCTTCTAATGATGCCCTTTCTCTTTTAGACAAGGTGCAAATACGCATTGTAAACATAGTTGGACCTGCTCTTGCAGCCAACCTTCAACCTCTGTCACATCGTCATAATGTTGCTTCTCTTTCTCTTTTCTACAAATACTATAATGGGCACTGCTCTAAAGAGCTAGCGTCTCTTGTGCCATCCACTAAATTTCATTCTCGTGTTACTCGTCATTCAATTAAGTCTCATCCTTTTTCTGTTACTGTTCCTAAGTGCTCCAAAAACTCTTAGTCGTCTAGTTTTTTTCCTCGAACATCAGTTCTTTGGAATTTGCTTCCTTTATCTTGCTTTCCTGATTCATATAATTTGCAATCTTTTATGTTGATGTAAATCGTTATCTTGCTCTAAAATCTTGATCTTTTCTCTTTCAGATACTTCCAACTCTATATAGTGGTTGGCTCTCGTGACTTCTGGAGAATCTTTAATAGTATCAATAATAAGCGTAAGTCTGTAATTCCACCTCTTTTGTATGGTTCAGACTTTGTCACCTCACCTAAAGACAAAGCTGAATTGTTTGCTAAGAACTTTTCATCAATATCATCTCTACCTGATTTTGGAAGCAAAGATGTTTAAAAAAAAAAATACCAATTAATATTAAAAAGCCCACTCACTAAACATGATCAGCAATATTGTGAAGTTTTGCTTCCTCGTCATAAAGTATTTTTAACCTTTTTAGTTGATTTCTATCTAGTTGATTTAATTTCTATAGTAGTTCAATGATTTAATTATTTAATTTTTTTATCTTACTAAGAATAATTGTTTCAAATATGTTAAACTTTTCAAACTACGCGAAACATAAAATAGGTATTGAAAAAATTAACTTTTTTATTTATAAAATAATTTAACTTAGACAAAACTAAAACTTGCAAACTTTGTTAAATAAAGAACATTTAAATAAAGAACATTTGTTATAGAACAATAAATAACGTTATATACTAACATAAGTTAAAGAACAGTTAAATAAAGTTAAGAAAAGTTAAAGAACAGTTAAATAAAGAACATTTGTTTCCATTTTTAAACAATCATAAGATGTTAGTTTATATAAAAAATGTCGCTTAATTTTATAAAAAAATTATAAAAGAGCGATGTTTCAAAAATATTTGTTCTAAACTTAATTTATTTTGCTTTAAGTTTTTTCGCGTTAGGGATTGTCCATAAATTACGTAACACAAAATTTCACAATAAACAAAACAAAAAAAGATCAAAAGTTTTCCCTCACAAAGTTTTAATCTAAATAAAAAATTAAAAAATTGTCCATTAAGTTTAATAAAAATTTTCTCGCAAAAGAGCTTAATATCTCCTACTTATGTTTTTAAAATATATTTATGGACGATCCCTTGAAAGATATTTTATTTATTTATTTATTTATTTATTTTTTTATTGTAATTGTTTCTCATTGGTCCAATTAATCTTAGCGCATTTTTTTTTACTTTTTGAAATGTTCTAAAAACGACTAAAAAATCTGGCCAGTTTTTTGCAGCTAAATATTATTTCCGTGGTCAGCAATTGAGAGCAATCACTCACACTTCCCGACCAAGCCTGTTTCCTCATGTTAAAGTATTAAATTAATTTTTGAGAAAAAAATTTCTTTAAATAGAAGTAAAATAATTAATTTTTTTTAACTTGATTTTTTTTTATTATTAAATTTTTGGTTTAACATTTGCAATAATCTCTAATTAATCTTAGCAATATAATTTTTCTACTTTTAAAACTATTTTCAAGAAATAAAAAGTAATTAACTAAACAAAAAAATATTTAACATTCAAACTAAACAAAAAACAACTAACATTCAAATTGTTTTACAATAAAAAGTAAAAGAAAAAAATTTGGTCTAATAAATCAAATTATATTTCCTTATGTTAAAGTATTAATTAATTTTTGAGAAAAAAATTCTTTGAATAGAAGTAAAATAATTTATTTTTTTTAACTTAAATTTTTTATAATTAAATTTTTGGTTTAATGTTTGCAATAATCTCTAGGTAATCTTTGCAATATAATTTTTCTAATTTTAAAACTATTTTTAAGAAATAAAAAACAATAAACTATTCAAAATGTTTACGATTTAAATAAAAATTTCTTACTCATGTGTACTATGTTCTAAAACTTATAACTGTATTATAACTGTAGCTAGATATACGTCTAACTTTCAGGAATGATTCTCACTATGCCACAGGGTACTACGGACATCACTGTAATTAAATTTATAATTATTGAGCGTTAAAATTCTATTGAATTTTTTTTATTTCAAATTTTAATCACAAAATTATTTGAATAAAAGAATTTTAGAAGACTAAAATTCTTTTGTTCAAATAGATCGAATAGATTCATATATCTTTTTTAAAACAAAATCCTAAAACAACTTTCGTGTTTATAGAAAATATTTAATTTTGATATCGCTTAGTATAATAAAATATAAGTATAATAAAAAAATAAAAAAATTTTATTCCATTTTTAATAATCTGTTTCAGATTTCTTTTTAAAATGATTTTTAATTAGAAGCTTATATTATGTGTTAACAACATATAAGATATAAATAGAAACAGTTGTATGGCTAACCTTTGCGAATATAAAAATTTAATAGCTGAGTAACTGTAAGTTACTGTAGTAAATAAACTGGTTGTTTTGATTTAGTTTATTGGTAAATTTACTGCAATATACTTTATCTATTCATTATATTTAACTAAATAACTTAATAATATTATTGGCTTCCACGCAGAGATTTAAAGTAATTAAAATTCAAAAGTGCTATATTGTTAAATAAAAATCTCTGCACAAGAGAGCAAACGATTATACTTCTATTCAAAAGATAGATTTAGTATTTCGTACTTTATGACCCCTAATAAAAAACTTAGACAAAAACATTAGTTTTAAGAATGGTAAAAAAAAAATGATAAATTAGAAAAGAAAAAAAAAAAACAAAAAAAAATTGTGAAAATATTTTTTTTTTGAAAAAACTAATTGCCAAGGTGTGATATTGCATGGCTTAAAGAGCAATCGCGATTCGCGATAGCTTTTTAATTCTTATAAATTAGTTTAAATTTTTAAATTGAATTTTAGGATCAGATGAGGTATCATTTTTCAATTTATTTTCATTTTCAAAAAGAGAAGTTACTTAACCAAATCCCTATAACATACGACTATGTTTTCTTTATAACTGTTCAGATGGACTGACTTTACCTATAACTTTTATTTTGAGCAATTACAGTAATTAAGCAATTAAATATTTATTAATTAATATAATTATTTGACTCACCTTTATAATCTTAATTTTTTCTAGATGTGTCTAAATTTGTATAATTATTTTATAAATTCTCAGAGTTTAAACTAAATGTTTTCTATTGTTTGCCTGAGGCAACTTCGTGTTTTAAATTAAGATAAACAGATTTAATTCTGATTATTGCCACCTTTTTTTTTTTAATATTATAAGAAAATATTTAAATATTATAATATTTCTTAAAAATATTCTGGTTTGTACTAGTGTTACGAAGGTAAAATTTACCGGAAAATTTACCTGAAAATTTTCCGGTAAATTTACCGGAAAATTTTGATAATTTACCGCCTGGTAAATTTTAAAAATTTTTTTCACTTATTTTTGTTTCTTTTTTTTTTTTTTTAATTTTTTAAAGGAAAATTTACCGTTCTCTAATTAAAATTTACCGGTAAATTTTACCAGTAAATTTTGAATCAAATTTTACTGGAAAATTTACATCACTAGTTTGTACTAAGTATTAACATAAAAAGTAAAGCCCACAATAGACTTATGGATAGATTTATAAAGTATTTAAATAACAAATATGTATAATATAATACACAAAAATATAATACACAAAACATAATATACATAAACTAATTATAAAATAACTATAATTATTCAATGTTATTTCAATGCCTATTTAATGAGGATTTACTTATGTTACTTTTCTTTTCAAAAATTGAAGTAAATTACAACATGATAACTCATGTGATTTTAAAATTGAAAGAGCATAGCAACAATTGTAAGCTGCTAAACAAGGTTTAGCTTTTTCCTAAAGATAAAAGACAGTTTTGAGTCAAACAAGAAAAAAATAGTTTTTGAGTGGAGAGCGGTGAAAAAGTATCTGATTAGAGAGAAATAATAAGCAACATGTCACCAGGATTTGCAATGAAATTCACAAGAATTTGTAACTATTAGTAACTAAATTCATCAGTGACTTGACAGAAAACATTACCCCTTTCGTTAACAAACACTATAAAGTAAAATTATTGTAAGTGAAATCTTATCATCAATTTAAAAGCTATAAAATAAAAAGTATTTGTCAAAATTTGACAAATAAGACCTTGTTTTGTTTGTCAGAAAAACTGATGCTAAATTATTTTTAAGTTTTAATTACATAACTAAATGTTGTTTTTAGCGTGGTCACATTTACTAAAAATATCATAATCCACATAGCGGGTTACTGGCAATGAAAGGGTTAACTGCAACTTGAAGTTTTATGCAGATGGTATGAAGATACTTAGCAAGGTCAATCAAGATGTTGAATTATTCAAATCTAATTTTCAAAATGCTTATGACCCAAGAACTTCAGTGTTTGTTAATTTAAGCAATTTCAAAGTTAACAGTGCTGTCTCAGTGGTTTCAACTCCACTTGCTGGGTTTTAAAATTGCAGTCACAGCTTATCATTGTTAAATATTAAAAAAAAAAAAAAAATATGCTTACTGTCATTTCCATTTATAATTTTGAGATCTTTAATAAAACCAACAGCTCCATTCCACCACGGATCTGTTGCATACACATTGACATTTGAAAACATTTGAGGTTTTTTATTAAAAACACTTGTAACAGTTTTTCCATTTAAATAAACTGTATATATATATAATTGCCACTACTTTGAGTCTGTGAAATTTCTATACTTGACCACTGATTAAGAGGTATTTTTGATGTGCGCACAACATAATTATAATCGTCATTTATTTCAGAAGAAATATGCAATTCTCCTGTAGATTCAATAAATACAGAAGGAATTCTACATCCATACAAACATATGTCTAATCCAGTGGTAAAATGAATGACATTTGCAAAACCTTCATTTGATATAGGTTTAAATTTAAAATACACTGAATACTCTTTTTGCAAATTATTTATTGTAGCAATCTGTTTGTTTTTGTTCAACACTATAACTATATAAAAATTTTAAAAAAAATCACAAATTATATATATATACACAAATTATATATATATATATATATATATATATATATATATATATATATATATATATATATATATATATATATATATATATATATATATATATATATATATATATATATATATATCAGGCTTGGTCAGGAAGTAGGTGCAATCGCACTCGATAACTGACAACAAAATTTTATTTAGTTACGAAAAACCGGCCAGATTTCTTAGTTGTTTTGAGAACATTTAAGTTTATATATGTTTGTTTCCTTGTTTGTCCGCAAAATAATAATTAAGTTTATTATTTTATCGTAAATTTTAAAATATTTTGTTTTACATGGAAACATACATTAACTCGAACGTTCTCAAACATCTTTGTGCAAAAAAATTAAAAAAGAATATTTGCGAACACAAAAAATCGTCCAAATCTACGAACAACTAATTCTATTGGTTCAAAAAATAGGTTCCAGGAAAAAATCACCTGGGAAAAAAATCCTCCCAAAATAATCCCTGAGAGAAAATCCCCACGAGAAAAAATTCCCTCTGAAAATATTCCCTCAAAAAAAAAATTTTTTTTTTTACCTAAAAATTATCAATATGTAGTTATGTTTATTTCTGTATTTATTTTAAATATTTATATAAAATACTTCATTTTTCATCAAAATGTCAAGTTATGCGCTTTTCCTCAAAGGTAGCGAATGTGACGAACTGCGAACTGGTAAAATGTGAACTTTTTTGCAAACCATTGTCGTATTGGTTGCTAATGATGTAATACTTTATTTATCGTTTATCGTTAAAAAGTTTATTTAGCGGTATACAGGCCTTGTGATGAAAAAAAACTGCGCGATGCATAAGCATGACGTGATTTTTGACGTTATTAAATTCTTTTATTTGCTTTTCATATTTATCAACATTAACTGCACCAATTTACTTAATTACCGCAAAACTACTTTAAATCATTAATGTAGAAATGTTATTATTTAAAAACATTTGTTTATTTTCTTAAAATAAACAAAATGTTTTTAAATAATAACATTATATTTATTTACAAATGATTTAACATAATTATTTTAAAAAAAATAATTATGTAAAAACATTTGTTTATTTTCTAGACATTTGTCTATACTAAACGAATAAAAAACATTATAACTAAACATTTAAAAAAGATTATAAAATATGCTTATATTTGATTTTTTTATACTCAAATATGTAATTTAAAGTTTTTCAAATAATTATTTTTCTTTTTAAAAAGTCAGCAAGTAATAAACTAGAAATTTTAATATTGTACGATTAAAAACTGCGCAAATCCACAAAATTACTCTTAAATACTTTAAATACGTCTAACAGTTAATAAATATTTTTAAATCTATGGAATAATTTTAAATCCTAATAAATCTCCGTAAAATGATTATTTAAGTTAAAAATCTAAAACTAAATGAAAGTATTTTTGTTCAATTTTATTGACAACTTTGCTATTGCTGAATAATTTTATTAAAATGTTATCTTAAAAAGATTTAAACTTTTTCTTTAATCTGAATTTTTTCTACTTGTAAATTATGAGCATAATTAATTTTTTTGTAGTTCAAACTTTTATATCAACTGCGTGCAGTTTTTAAAAGACTTTATTGAATGTTAAAATAATCGTCAATTACTTCATTAAAATTCCGCTCAAAAATATCTTTAAAGATACTCAAACAAAAATTTTTTTGCTCGACGCAAATAGCCCTAGCTACACGCAAAATTGCTCTTGGACGACGTAAAATTCACATCACCCGATGCTTTATCGCAAGGCCTGGGTATATTTTAAGGACTTTTGAGCAAAAAATTTATTTAAAAAAAAATAAAAGGAAAATAAGTGAGACTATACGAATCCAATATGAAAATAATTTTATTTTTATTATTTCATAGACTGCCTACCCAATCCAAATCCTCAGTCGATGTAACAGCACTCCGTTGCGAGTCAGGCTATTTGTCAGTCGATATAGCAGCACTCTATTGCAAGTCAGGCTATAAGATAGTTGATGTTGCAACACTCCACTCATGTTTTACAGTTAAAAAATAAAAATTTTATTTTAAATAAAGCTTTAAAATAGATAATTAAGAAATGAAGAGTTTTCTTATTATTATTATTATTATCATAAAAATAATGGTCTTAAAAATATGTTTTGGTTTGTAAGAAAGTTTGCATTTTACTGCTCGCAGTTTGCGATTTGCAGTTCGCATTTTACCAACAACCGAGGAAAAGCGCATAACTTGACACTTTGATGAAAAATGAAGTATTTTATATAAATATTTAAAATAAATAAATATAACTATTTTATTGATAATTTTTAATAAGAAAGAAAAAAAAAATTGAGGGGAGGGGCTATATTCTCCAGGAGGGTTTTTTCTCGGGGGATTAATTTGGGGGGATTTTTCCAGGGGGATTTTTTCCCGGGGAATTTTTTCCTGCTACCCAAAAAATACTAACTAAAATTTCTAGAGTATTCAAAAAATACTAAACGAATGTTTTTGAGTATTCTGTTGTTTTTTTTTAATTGTATTATTTGAGTTTCCATTGAGATTTCTAGCATAAATTGTTTTAAGAATAATAAACGAACTATTATTTTAGATCTCAGAGCTACATCTAAAAAACGTTTTAAACTAACATATGTTTACAAAAATAAATGTTTTAAATTTATATTTTTTAACTTGTTTACGTTTTGTAAATATATTATAAATTTTATTAGTATATTCTCATTTTTTATATATAAGGGATGTATTTTTTATGTATGTAATGTATTTTTATGTATGAAATGTATTTTTATGTATGTATTTTTTATGCACGTAATTTTATGTATGTGTTTTTTATTCAAATGTAATCTTTTAAAGCATTATGTGCGATTGATTTTGTAAACAAAAATACTTTCAATAAGAAGTGTTTTCAATGAAATTATTAATATTCATCAAAGTTAATACAAACAATTTTAACCACTAATCCATTTCCTCAGTGTACCCGATAATTGATACTTTCCCCCAAGAAAGAAAAGTTTTTAAGTTCTTAGAAATTGGTTTACTAACTTCAATTATTTTTGCTTCAGCTATTCTTACAAACTTGTTATACTTAAACTTAATGTTACTTTTTTTTGTTTTAAATAATTATAAAGCCCGTTCACTAAACATCAGCGTTATTGTGAAGCATTTCCGCTTCCTCATCACAAAGTAATTTAACATTTTTAGTTAATTTCTATTTAATTGAATTTCTACAGTAACTCAATGATTTAATTATTTCATTTGTTCATCTTACCAAGAAGAATTCTTTCAAATGTGTTAAACTTTTCAAACTACGCAAAGCATAAAATAGTTATTGAAAAAACTTTTTTATTTATAAATAAATCATTTAGCAATAGTTTTATTAGTTAAATTTTGTTAAACTTCATGGCTGGGGGTTGCATTATTTTGGTGGGCTTTTTTATGTGCCACAGCATTAAAATTACTAAAAAAAAACCAAATGGTCCTCTTGACTATTTCGCGGGCCCTAACATTGTGAGTCCCGAGACAATAGTCCTTCTCCCCCCCCCCCCTCCACCTTCTCAATCAGCACTGGAACTAAGTCAAATATACTCTTTGATAAATCGAATAACATTTGTTTCCTTATTAAACAATCATTAATAGTAAGTCACTACTTTTTATACTAATCGTATTTATTTTGCTTTAAGTTTTTTCGGGTTTTTTCTAACTGTCTCTCATCGGTCCAGTTAATCTTATTGCGCTTTTTTGTTTGTTTTTGAAATGTTCTCAAAACGACTAAAAAATCTGGCCGGTTTTTTGCAACAAAATATTATTTCCATGGTCAATTATCCAGTGCAATCACACCTGCTTTCCGGCCAAGCCTGATATATATATATATATATATATATATATATATATATATATATATATATATATATATATATATATATATATATATATATATATATATATATATATATATATATATATATATATATATATATATATATATATATATATATATATATATATATATATATATGCGTCTCACAGGAAAAGGTACCTAGTCTTAGTTTCTAGTTACGGAGATATTTGAAATAATAGCTAGTCAGGTCAAAAAATTCAAAAATGAGATTATTGTTTTTTTTTATAGTTTTATCATGTTACAATACATATCAGGTGTTTTTTTGTTTTTTTTAAATTTTGATAGTTGCAAAAAAGCATTTTAAAAAAATGTGGAAAAGGTACCAAGTCTTCATCAGACCCGTTTTAAAAATGTTCTCTCCTCTAGAAGTAAAGAACTCCATGTTAATTATTTTCTTATGCTATAATAAAGCAAATATAATATAATATTAATAAATATATAATAAATATAATATAATAAAAACATAACAAAAAGCTTTGATAACAATTTAATAATAATAATAATAATATTAATATTATTAACGTTTTAGCGTGCCAGTATATAATATTTTTTATTTTTGATCAATAATCGTTAAAAATTATTTTTTAAGTATGATGACCAAAATTGTTATCAAAACTTTTTGGTATGTTTTTATCGTAGTACCAACAATTATTGTTTGATTAAAAAATTATAAGAAATAATTTTAAATATGCTTGTCTTTGTTGATATTCCCTCTAACAGGTGCTACCTTAGAAAAAAAATCAAATGCTGACGTAATAAGCCCGCTCAATTCATAAAACTTGTGGTTTCTTTTGTGTGTTAGTGTGGCTTTTTTATATTCAAATGAAATGCATTTAAATAAAGCACATAAATTGATGTTCATGCACAAAAAATAACTATAAAAAATAAACAACTATCTGCTGCAAATATTCTGCTAGTATTTCAAACCAACGACAAGCGCTGAATCACGGCAGGTGTAGAAAAAGTTTCATATAAAATTAAACTTTAAATTTAATTTTTAATGACTTGTTTATTATTGTGATGGTTTTTAGTTATTATGAATCGTCAATACAGTACTTCTAAAAATGCTGATATAGCAAAGTTTTTGAATAGTTGTGGAACTAATGGTTTAGATCCATCAGAAGTCAACAATGCCCTGCACGATTTCTTTGAATATAGAGATTGTGAAAAGGATTCCAATGTCTGACTTTTCTGACAACCAAGCATCTAGCAACGATTAGGTGGAGATGGTCGAGAATCAACATTTAACCTTAAATTCGCACGATGAACCAATCTGAGAATGAGCCTTTAGCTTCAACTTCGCAGGATGAATTGACAACCGAAAATGACATAGTTGTTCTTGATAACACCTGCAAGACAATTATTCCTCTCCATTCACTTTATTCACAATTATTTGAAAATGAAGATGAGGAAAAAACTTTATAAAATCTGGCTGTGGGTGTCATTAAGGAGTAAATAATGAAAACTGTATGGCGCGCTTCTTTCATTTAGAAATACGTGAATACAGACTACAATGTTTTGAGATTGATGGGATGATTGAACACGAAAACAAACTGAATGATAATATTATTGTACAGTTAAGTGCTCTGCTTCACACGAGTGAAAGGCTAATGTATTGCAATCATTATAAAGATCAAAATGATCTTAGATCAAAAACAATGATGGATTAATGGTTTTACGGATACATGATATGTTTGAAATCATTTCTGTTTTTGCACGGGATTGGTCATAAGCGTCTCTGTCTACTACGTAGGCAAGTCATTGAGTTTGGAATTGCTCCTCGTAGACATGACAATACTGGAAGACAACCTAAAAAACCTGTACAAAAGAAGATGCCACAGCAATTGTTTAAATTATAACGAATTATGCAGAAAACAATGCACTAGTTCTACCTGGAAAAACGTGAGGAATAAGAGATCATTGGATGATGCTTTTTCCGTCATGGGAGATAAAGAAAAACATACATCAAAAATATAAATCAGCATGTGAATTATCTGGAATGCATTCTCTGCAAATCATAACATTCTCGAAGATCTGGAAAATGGCCTTGCCCTTTATTGTTATCCAACGTCTGCGCTTGGACTTATTCAGTCTCTGTCAAAATAACACGATAAAAATGTCTGAAATGGTTAATCTAGAAGTAGAAATAAAACAAGAGCATATAACTGAGATGTTGAAACATCTAAAGTTAGTTGAGAAAGAGCGTTCCGTTTATCACGATAGTATCAAACTGGCAAAACGAAATGAAATTTCAAACATTTCTTTTGACTATGCACACCAAATCTTTCTACCTAATTTGCCAGATCCACCTGGACCTATCTATTTTTTAAAGTTGGGATTTTCGGTATTGCAAATGAATCAGTCTGTGTTCAGCACAATTATGTGATACCTGAAAACATGTTGACTGGAAAGGGTGCAAACTGTATTTTGAGTATGATTCATCACTACCATGCTGAACATAAATATTCTATCAAAGATACACTCTATTGCCATGCTGACAACTGCGTAGGGCAAAATAAAAACAATATTGTAATGCAGTATTTTTCTTAGAGAGTAGTTGTTGGGTTAAACCAAAAAATAACTATCATGTTTCTGCCTGTCGGTCACACGAAATTCTCTCCAGATGCAGGATTTGGGATCCTGAAATCCAAGTTTCAGCAAAGTGAAGTAGCTTCGGTCAAAGAGTTTGCCGCATGCATAGAAGCTAGTACTCCGATTTCAAATTTGAATAAATCAGTCATTGTCGGTGACGAGAATGGTACAATTTTTGTGTCAACATATGATTGGCAAGAACATCTTTCATCCAATTTCAAAACGATTCCTAATCTCAAGCAATGGCACTATTTCACATTTCAATTTGATAAACCTGGAGTGATTACTTGCAAGATTAATTCGGACAGTGCAGAGGTAGAATTCCAAATATGGCAACACCAACTTATCTCAAAAATTACCATGCCACAAATATTACAGCCTAAACTTCTCTCACCAGAAAGACAATGGTATCTGTACGATAGCATCTGAATATTTGTCCCAGAACGCGGTAAAGATTTAATTTGTCTAAAGCCGCAAGTTGACAGGATAACGTTTGCCCAGGTTTTTTAATTTTTTAAGCTACCATCATTATTAGAATTAAAATATGGATATAATTGACATAATAGTTTTGAACGATGAAAACTTCATTAACTTAAATTATTTTTTATTTCTAGGTGAGAGCAGCAAATGTTCGCAAAATAGTTCAATCCAGATTTTTCGAAGGGTTTGCCGTCCACATGTTTTTATTGCAAACAAGTTGGACATATAAACAAAATGCTAAAAACAGTTCCAGTTTGCCCTAAAAGAAAAGCAGATAAAGAAAATTGTATTTAGTTAAGACTTGGTACCTTTTTGATTTTTTTAGGTATGTTTCTATTTTTTTATTTTTAAAGAGTTATTGTAATATATTCGATGTGAAACTTTGTACCAATAATCTAAACTGTATTATGGATTTAAAAACAGAAAATAATTACTAACTTTTTCATCAAACTGAATTTATAACGTTTTTAAATTACGCGAACTTTCAACTTAAATTTTCTCAATTACGCTATTCCGGTTGTTGTCCCGCACAAACAGCCATAACTTGGTCAAAAAAAGATATCAAGTTAATTTTTTTTTCTTTTTGATCTTTTTTCTTTCTATTATGCAGTGGTGCTAATAACTCCATTTCTAAGACTTGGTCCTTGTGAGGTGCCTCATTTTACGGAGGAGAATACAGTGCTAAACCTGTGAAAGTAATTTTTTTTTTACTCTGTTCTCCTTCAAAAAGCTGGACATCCATATATCACATAGACACTTATTTATTGGTTTATTAATTTATTAGTTAAGAATTAATTTATTTGTTTGAAACACAACTAGTTATCTTTAATTATACTAAATTGCACTTTATTTTGTTTTCTTAAAATAATACTACCTTTAGGGTTTTGGTGTTCAACTTTTTCCATTTCGCATAAAGTTTCAAATACCAAATCTTTGGGACTAATTTGAAATATGCCTGTTTTAGTAAAACCATTATCATAGTGCTCTTGACAACTCTTTGCTATTCCTGCAGCTAAAAATACATATAATACATTAATTTTTTCTACTTAATTACAAGAGATTTTTTTTATAGCTCAATTGTAGCTTCAAAATATGAAAATTTTCTCTTATTTTGGAATTTAGATTTGAACTATTCATGAATCTCTTTAAAATGTATATTTACTTCTAAAGACTGCACCTATCGCTTTATTTTAAAGACTGCAATTGTCACTTTAAATCTCTTTAGACACATTATTAGTAAGTAAAAATAAAGTTGAAGGGTGAAACAAAAATGTAATAAATATAAATTTGTAAAAACTGAAGTTAAGTAAAATATATTTTAAGCATTTTTCACTCTTGTTTAGGAAGATATGACACATTTCCTTAAAAACCAAAGTTATTGAGGTTTGCATATTTAGTGAAAACAAGGATGTGTAATTTTTATTTATTTTAATTTTTTTTTAAACATCTTTGCTTCCAACAAGGCTGCAAGCAACCAGTAATTAGTGTTGGAAGTTACTGGAAGAGAAAAGATGAAGATTGTAGAGCAAGATAATGATTGACAGACAACTTAAAAGATTGCAAATTATATGAATCAGGAAAGAAAAATGAAGGAAGCGAATTCAAAAGATCTGATGTTCGAGGGAAAAAAATAGACAAATAAGAGATTTTGGAGCACTTAGGAACAGTAACAGAAAAAAGGATGAGACATATTTGAATGATGAGTAACACAAGAATGAATTTTAGTACATGACACAAGAGACACTAGCTCTTTAGAGCAGTGCCAATTATAATATTTGTAGAAAAGAGAAAGAGAAGCAACATTACGACGATGAGACAAAGGTAAAGGTTGGCTGCAAAAGCAGGTCCAACTATGTTTACAATGCGTTTTTACACCTTGTCTAAAAGAAAAAGGGCACCATTAGAACATCCGCCCCAGATATGGCAACAGTATTCAATTAGCTAGAGGGAGACTACAGACTCACTAGAAGGAGAACGCACATTCTTAAAGACCATTTTTCAGCAAGTAACTTAAATTTCTTCAGAATTTTATTTTGAGTCATACAATAAATTATAATTTTTTACATCATAATTGTAGCTTTACACAGTCTACTTTAGCATTTCAGGGGCTATTTCATCTCTAAAAACAATGGTTAATTGACTCATGAAGGTTGTTTGTTTGTTTTTTAAAAAAAAAGAAGTATTTTTGCCAGATTTTAAAACAGATAATATGATACTATCTGTTTTAACACATTCTTTAAGAATATGTGTTCTCCCCCAGCTAGTCAGATATATATTAAATATAGATATATAAAAGGGTATTTCATATATATGCTATAAGTGTAGTCACGAGAAGGCGGGGTTTCATAAACTTGGTTTTTATTTTGAAAACAGTCACGTGACTTACGAGTAAAAAAATTGCAAGTTACTTTACACATTTAATCTAAGTAATTTCTTTTGATTTATAATGGTCTTAAAATGTGTATATTTAATAATAAATATAAAATATCCTTTTTTAATTTTTTTTTTTTGAAAAAAAGTGAAAAAGTGAAACAAATTACTAAAATTTGGGCAAGTTCATAATTTGCCGCGTTTAATCTAAAATCGAAAAAAGCTTATATTAACTCACTAATGTCATATTGTAAAACATTTTATTAATGTTTATATTCTTTTTACAGAACAAAATTATTTATTTTTTCAAAATTAAGTATTATTTCAAAAGTTAAAAAAGTTGTTGTAACACCCAATGAGTAATTATTTAAAAAAAAACATGAGGCCGTAAAGCTCACTTGAAACAGCCGTGCCGGGCTGACATACAAAAGATGCCACAGACATCTGTTACCGGAACAACTTAGACCGCTGGATGACTATTTTTAATTTATTTCTACTTTATGTATATATTTTTTTGTTTAACAATGTAGCTGGGATGCGAAGTCTAACCAATTTTAAGGGGCTTCATAATCAAAAAATAGGAGCACTTGGAATTAGGGATGTACCGAAGCTTCACCTTCGGCATGCCGAAGCTTCGGCTTCGACTGAAGCCAGGGTCAGTTTTTGCCGAAGCATCGGCTTCGGCGAGTTTTATTTAGGTAATTAAAGGACATAAGCTACTGTTGTACTTAACATAAAAAAATTTTATTGTTTACAATAAAATTACATTACTTTACAACTCTATTACTTGTACTTTGCTCCTTTACTTTGATTCCTTGACGTATGCCACAGCATACATAGTATAAATTGCGACGTCCCGCAAACTTTTTTGTTAATTTTTGTTTGTTTGCCTGCTTATCAAAATTAATGAGTATTTTTTATATTTTATTTAAGTTGTATGCATAATTTTATTCCGTTATTGTATTTACTGAAAGCTATTTTCACAATAATTTTTATTTAGTTTTTTTTTGCGCTTGAAACGTACGCTAGAAAAATTATTTCTTATCGCCACTCAAAAACATGAATAATTCATGAGGGCGCTTGATATTTATGAACCAAATATTTTCAAAATTACACAATTTATGTTTCAACATCAGTCAAAAATGATGCCGAAGATTTTTGAAAATATTTTCCATAAAACATTAAACCTATACAATCTACCGGAAGATTTAAAAAACCTTCTTATTGAAGGATTCTTAAACAAACTTATTGCCAATCAAGATTCTTTACATGATTTTTTCTAACAATACACTTTTATTTCTAACTTTTATTATCAAAGGTTACTGATGATAAGATTTTATCTTCTTCAGGTTCTCCGGTCTTGTAACTATTATAAATAATGAAATGTACTTGTATTTAATATTTTTAAATATTTTATCAAAAATTACCTTTAATTATAAATGGTTGCTTGACAAAAAATAAAAAAAATAAATAAATATAAAATTACTAATTAGCTAGTAATTATTTTCCTTATAACATTAAATTTGTTCAAACAAGGCATAGCTACATTCTAAAATCCTATGACATTGTATAACTAAAAAAAAAACCTTTATGATTTGTTATAGTAAAATAATTTGAGCGCTAAAATACTTATAATTGCAGTACATATATTTTGAAATATACAGTACATAAAATACTTGGAGTAGAATGTTAAAAAATTTTTTAAGCAGTTAATATTATCTCTAGATAGCTACATCTAAAAAATAACAAATTTTACCTATCTAAGTGCAAAAGCTTCGACTCCGGCCAAAGCTACGGCTTCGGCAGAGCGACTTTGGCCGAAGCTTCGGCTTCGGTAAAATTTTAGCTTCGGTACATCCCTACTTGGAATGGCGGTCTCGGCAAAATATTTTTTATCAAACTCTTTTTTGATTCAGTTAACCAAAGTTTTTAGGGATGAAATAATCCTTGAAATTCTAGAGTATACTATATAAATTTTATAATGCTGAAAAAAATTATAATTTATTATTAACATTGAAAAAAAAAGTCCTCGTTGGCTGACAATAGCCGACTGCCAACTGCAGGTCCTAATTTTCCGACTCTAGGGTCCAAATTTGCTGACTTACGTTTAAATTAAACTTTTCTAGGAGCTAGGGGGTAGACACCTTCTACATCCTAGGTACGGCCCTAGTTTAAAGGTATTTTTTACTTGTGTACTAGTATATTAGTAATAAATAAATAATACCTACCATTAAATATATTATTATAAATAATTTTAAATAAATTTAATATTAAATGGATAATAAAGTATACTCTAGATAACGGATTTGTTAGCATCAAGTTTACATGCGGTAGTGGTGTAGTGAGAAGCGCTCGCCTAGTAAGCAAGTAGTTCCGATCGCGATTACTGCTTTTCCGCGCAAGTTTTCCGCGCATTGGCGTTTTTTTATTTTTTACCTCCCAAATTTATATAATTTGTTACATACACAAAAAACTTATCAAAAAAATTATAACAACTTATAAATAAAGTTAAATGCGATTTAAACTATAATAATAATAATAATGTCGTAATGCATTTGTATATAATATAAATTATAAATAACAACAACTCAAAATACGAATTTTATTCTAGCGACGTGTTCAGACCAATGATATATTATATAACTAGATCTCTAATTTCATTACGAAAAGTGAAGGCCCTTTTTACAAATGGCGGATTAAATTTGTAAACAGAATTAAAAATATAACTTTTAAACTTTTTTTTAACCAGTCTAACCATATCTGTTAGTTTAAACGCTTTAGAAAAATTCTTTTACTTTGGCATCAACGCCAAATATTAATATCAAATATTTGCTCCTGAGCATAATTTGGTATCTTGCTATAAGTGTAACCAAAGGTTTTGTACACCGCATATACTGTGATTCGCCTCTTATACTCTTTAAAAGCAATCTATACTGTAGCTAGTGCTTCCAATACCGGTAGTACCGGTACCGGAATACCGGTATTACCGGACATTTTTAAGTACCGAAATATCGGTATTGGTTTGGCTCAATACCGGTATTAAAAATATATGTAGAGGGCTTATGATATAGCAGGTGCTATCGCCCTCTTTACGTGAAACACTAAAGTAAATGAAATACTTAAAACTTTCAACAACGTTTCCTGTAGGAAAAAGATAGCTAGATGAGAAAAGACGCGTTTAAATTGTCTAAAACAAGTATTCTACGTACTTTATACTTAATATCTAGTTGCCAGCTCATTTCCCACTAGGTTTGGTAGAAAATGAGCTAGCAACTAGCCAGCGAACAGCTTGCGTTTAAGACGTATAAAATACGTAGAATACTTGTTTTAGACAATTTAAACACGTCTTTTGCCATCTAGCTATCTTTTTCTTACCGGAAGCGTTGTTTGATCGTGACTGGAAGTTTTAAGTATTCCATTTACTTTCGTGTTTTCATTAAATAATGAAGCACCAATTTAAAATATTATCATTACGTCACTCGCTTTAATGTAGAACGCATGTTTGAATTTTGCGCTAACGTAAATATGAAAAGTTTCGGTAATGTAGAAAGTGGGGCGTTTAAGTAACTGTGATCAACAGTTGTGCATTAGGCATGGGATTCAACTAGGTATTCAAGATATTTTGTACAAAAAAATCGTCAATTTCTGCAAAAAAAACTTGAAAGTAATATGCAATAACAGAGAAAGTGACGAGGAATTACTGATGACACAAACATAACCAATAATGATGAAGACTTTTCCGACGGGTTTCAAGTTGTAATGAGTGAAGAGAATGACTCTATTGAACTGACTGATGATTTGCAGCCGTTAATCAAAAAAGTGCGCACCGTTGTGAAATTTTTATTTCGCCGTTCTCCGACAAAAAATGATCAAAATTCAAAAACGCACGCTAGAAAAATTTGATAAAGATATTGCACTAATACTTGGATCCAAAACTAGCTGGGTTAGCTTGCACACAGTACTCGAACGTTTTGTATAATTGAAAAAATGCATTCACGAGTCACTTTTTGCCCTTGAGTCCAAAGTTGAGGTAACTAATAATGAGTCCGATGCAATATTAGCTGTTAACTTATGTCTTGCACCAGTAAAACTGGCTGTGGAAACATTGTGCCAAAATCATGCAACTCTGTTGTGTGCCGATACAACATTTTCATGATAGATAACCTTTGAGAAATCGATTTAGCTGTAAAGTTATGTTGGTGCAACAATTCAATGAGCAACGTACTCTTTTTCCAGCATACAACATTTTTTGCACAAGGGACATCAACGTTACAAGAATTTGGATCTAGCTCTATCTTTTGAGCACCATAGCAAATTAGCCATTGTAAATACCATTACTTGACTGAAAGATCGGCTCAATCAGAAAGGGTATAGTCCTCTCCCTTTCACCAGCGTTTTTTCCGTTACTGATTCTGTGGACAACGCTGTTACCTTATCATTAAAAAAAGCTTGACTTTGCAATTTTGAAAAATAAGAAATGTAACAACAAGGGAAAATTGAATGTTTCGAATAATTCATCAAAATTTATATGTATTGAAATAGGAATTTTTGAAGAAGGAGGAAATCGTTGTATATATTTGCAAATTTCCTACCATTCCTTGAAAACTGTGAAGCCAACAAAATTAGATGATCTTTTGAAGATGATGTTCTGAACGCCCTATGTTTTTTACGGGCTCATTTTACAAAGCAGAAAAAAGCGAAAAATGAAAAAGTCAGTAGTTTTGATATAAAATAAATAAGCTGATTGAATCAATAAAACTTTTACTATTAACTTGAGATTTTATTTAGATTATGATAAATTTAAAAAAAAAGTTTAATACCGGTTTATACCGGTATTACCGGTTTATACCGGTATTACCGGTATTGTAATTATTTAGTACCGATATACCGGTATTGAAAAATGGTATCGGTATTGGAAGCACTAACTGTAGCCTATAAACACGTTGCACGTTTTTGAATAGTTTATATGCCGAAGGGCTTGTCAAAAGCAGCGAAATTCAATACGTTTGTGTTTTAAACGCATACTGCTTTAAAGTTAATATATAAAGTTAAAATAAGTACCTGTTGGATAAACAATTTTATATTAATAAACTCATAAATCTTTCATCTTTCTTTAGATTTTTTTTTTTTTTATTTCAAAAAAAAATCACAATTATATTTTTTTTTATAAGTTTGAACTTTAGACATGTACGTTATAAACACTACAAGTAACTCAAATCAAACTTTGGTTTTTTGCATAAAAAAGTTATTTTGCACTTCGTGTTAAAATTTCATAACTAAATGAACAAGAATAGATAAATACCACATAAAATAACTGTATAATAACTTTAAAATTGTTAAAAAATTATTTTCAAAAGATTTTTACTTCATTTTGCTATTTCTTTATTTTTTTATTTTTTTTTTTGTTAACTTTCACTTGTTCATTTTTCCTAAATTTTGATTATGTAAATTAAGTACTTATATAGCATTATTTTTACCTATTTTGCAATTACAGTTATGCAGACGTCGATTTCTCCCAGCACAAGATGGACTACATTCACATTTTCCACATGAATCCAGTGTTAAACTGCAGCTTTGAGAGCAGTTTGGCTAAATATATATGGTTAAAATTGAAATATTTGCTGTATTAGACATACTATACTTTTTAATTTTTTAAATATTAAGAAACATTAAAAATGTATATATATTTAAGCGGTCTAAAATAATTTTTTTGCCTTGCTTGTTGCGCTTTCGTGTGTAGACTTGCTTAGGTTGGAGACATTAATATAAACATAAAGAAAATTTATTGACTTGAGTACATACATCGTCTATCTTATAGCCTGCTACACTAACTGAGCTTTTGGCATAGGGCAGCAATCTTTTTTCTTTTATTATTTCAATTAAAATTGCTAATGTTGAAAAACCCTCCGCTAACGAGAAAAAAATAAAATTATTTTAGACCGCTGCACAGTGGGTCAGAGGTGCCAATTTTCAGCCAAAACCTCTAAAATATATTTTAATTTTTTTTTTTATTATTACAAACGGTGTATTATATTGAAAAACAAATTATGCAAAAAAAAATTTTAGTTTTATAAAAACTTGGATTTTTATTGCATAATTTTGAAAAATTCCAATTTTTTAGCCTATAAAAAAAATTCCGTAAACTAGCCAGAGGCGGATTAAGAACATTCGGGACCCGGGGCTATTTTTTTCTGCAGTACTTTATTAGCCAAATTTATATAGCACGATTTGTAAGGGGAAGGTCTTCTTGAATGTTACGGGGCCCCTAAAATTTAAGGCCCCGGGGCCATAGCCCCCCTCCCTTAATTCGGCAATAAAATTAGAAACAAAAATATTATTTAAAGTTTTTTTTGAATCTAGAATAGTATAAAAAGTATACTATTCTAGATTCTTGCAATAATCTAGCAACACTAGATGGTAGAACCTTTATTATTACTATGCACAATAATAAAAAACTATAATGGGTTAAAATAGTTAATTTCTAGCCAAAACCTCATAATAAATTAAAACAAATAAAACTATGATTAAAAACTATATTAATATATTAAGATGTTGTTTTTATTTATATTGAAAAAAAAAATCTTATATATAATTAAACATTTATTGCTAAACACGTACATTCATTGGCAAAAACATTTATTTCTAAGATATCATCAAAAACTCACAAAGAGCAAATGATGCTGGGCTCTTTCAACAGAGCAATTGCATCGGCAGGCAGAATAGCTTTTCTTGTACTGTTTGTTTTACGGTATTGAGCAATAAAAGGATCTGAATGGCATAAAAGGCGATGAAACACGTCCAAATTGGTTTTTTTTCTGTCACATTTTCTAGAGAAGCACTCCCTGTATTTTTTAAAGTACTTATTTGAGGCTTCTTGTGCTTCCTCAGACATCATGCCAAGAGGCAAGCTAAAAAATTCTATCACTAGATGTCCATGAATCAGAACTTTATGTAAAGTCTGTGACATAGGATACCATATATATAACTGTGTATACAACTCTGCAGTCTCAAAACAATATTTTTTAAATTTGTTAGGTTCAATATCAAATCCAGAAGACATCACTGATAATATTGAATGTAGTCTTCTGATAAGAACAGGACTAACACCCATTATTTCAGCAGACTTTTCAGCCTGCTGAAACACACGACGTGCAGTGTTCCCATCATTTGAGGTACCAGCACCCCCAGAGCATGGCTGGTCTACAACAAGACCCATCTCATTTTGGAATGCAACTTGTATTTTCTTCTTTCTGGTGGCAACTATAGCTTTATCATCTACACCTCTTGCTTGCCATTTCTGAATTGGAATCTTGTATGCAATATGTAGTAAACACTCAAAAAGCCTAATCCAGGCATGAAGTGTTGAGATGCCATTCTGCAGATTCTCATTTTTCACTTCTTTTTTTAAAACTATTGGCAGATCATTCATGAACTTTGGTGAGATGCCACAAACACTGCAACACTGAGTGGAAGTTGTAGCAGTGGAAATTATGGTCTGCACTTTCCCATCAATCATAGTGATATCTATGATATGATGTACATCTAATGTCTGTCCAGCAATTATCACTTTAGAAACTGGGAGTGTTTTGATGTCATTTTTAATTGACTCAAATTCTTCTAAGACTACTTCCTTTGTTTCTTTGATGTATTTAAACCGGACAGGTCTGCAAAAAATAGGCGACGAAGGTTTATGATTCCTCCAAACAAGCTGCCGCTTGGCATCTGTAAAAAAGTATAAGTCTAATGGCACTAAGCATGTAATAAATAAAGATACTTCATTGGCTAAACTCCTGCCAGCCTCATCTGTACTCGACTGCTTATACACTGACAGACCAGTTGCACCATCAAATCCTATTTTTGATCTAAGTGTAAGTTTTTTAAAGATTTTAAGGGAATCAGCAGTCAGCACTTCTATCTGAGAATCACAAAGTCGTTGTGATGTGTGCTGAAGTAGAGACTGCAACGGAATTTCTGCTGAGTAATCAGAGATTATAACATCATCTGGATAACATCTGTCTTTTGCACTCTTTAAATCATGGTATGTTGGATAAATAGCTGAATCTAGATCCAAAGCATTGTTGCGGAGAAGTTGGTATGTTGCCTTTGACAGATTAGCATCTAAGAAGAGTGCTAGTGCTTTGTCAGAAAAAAGACTTGCTTGAGGGGTATATAAAATACTTTTGACACTGATAGCCTCTGCATTTCTCCCATCTTTTTTTAATGACCTTGAAGCTGCATATAATATTTCGTTAGTAGAGTACATATGTATAATGTTAGAAACTTTTCTGTCCTTTGATCGTATTGAAGATTTGTTAAAAGGTGTTTCTGGTCTTCCACCATAATTTTTTTCATGAGTAACAGCTTTTATTAGTTTAAAAGAAATAATAGCATCTAGCCAAGTAGCATATTTATTTTCAAATTGAGTATACTCCCTTTTTACAGTTGTCATTTTACGTTTGTATTGATGAACAAATGATGATAATGTTGGCTTTATATCTAAAAATGTGTTTGGTGAAACATTTTCCACATACTCAACCAGTTTACAAAGTAAATCATTTTTATTACAGTCAGTTTCTTTAATATAAATGTATAACTGTCTTCTATTCATCTAAAATTAAAAAGAACATCTATTAATATAAGAATAGATAATATAATAATATATATAATAATGTGTGTATATATATGTATATATATATATATATATATATATATATATATATATATATATATATATATATATATATATATATATATGTATAGATATATATATACATATATATATATATATATATATATATATATATATATATATATATATATATATATATATATATATATATATATATATATATATATATATATATATATATACACATATATATATATATACATATATATATATATATATATATATATATATATATATATATATATATATATATATATATATATATATATATATATATATATATATATATATATATATATATATATATATATATATATATATATATATAGAGAGAGAGAGAGAGAGAGAGAGAGAGAGTGAGAGAGGGAAAGAGAGAGAGAGTAGATTAAATGTACAAACAAAATAATGAGCATGTGTTTGTTAAAAACTAGGCAACCTACTGTAATATTTTATGCCCAATATGAACAGATATATACAAAAGGAATATATTGTCTAATAATATTTTTTTATTATTATTATTATTATATTTTCTTTCTTATTATTATGTTCTCTTAAATATTCGCCAATAAATAGTATAGTCCGTCCGGACTATAAAAATTATATTAATGAGATAACAACACGGCCGGTTTATAAAAATTACAATTATTACATATTAAAATCATTGCTCACTCTAGACTGGCAAAAACTGGCAAAATATTTTGCTTGATAATAGTAGTACACATCAAGTACTTATGAAAACAGCTGCAACATATCTTTAATATTGCTTAATACACTACTATTTAAACACCAACAAAGAAAAAAAGAATTTACATAATTTAAAAAACAGCCTGTACAGTTAGGCATAAAAAAATACTGTTATATTTTTTATAATGATATTTTGAGGATAAATTATACATCTATATACAAATTCAAAAAATATAGCATAAAATTTTCCTACCTTTTAAAGCAGGAAGCATGTAAAAATAAACGGCAATATTTAGAAAAAATAATGAATAATTTTCAACATTGCTTGCTGACGGAACTGGAGTAGTTTGCGGCCAAGTATTTCTATTTAATCATAATCTATTATCATAAATAATATTATTTTCGTATATTAGACTTATTTAACCTATATTAAAAAAAAAAAAAAAAAAAGTTTTTTTAAACTTTATGTTTTAGGTTTTGCCGACTTCTGACCCACTGTGCGCTGAACTGAAGCTTTATCTGAAATTACATTGTATTTATTAAGAACTGTATTTTTCACCTAGATTTACCCATAGTTCTTCATTGCCTTGTAGGACAATGATTTTATGATTTAATTTTCACAGTCTGTGTCGCTAAAAAAAAAAATCCTGGCATTCCGGCCTTAAATGTTGTAATTCCGCCCGGAACCGGAATGACCTAATAGTTCCGAATTCCGGTACATCAGTTAGCTAAATATCAGGAATAAGTCAAAGTAAATTTCCAATAATTGCACATTTTAATGTAAATTGCAGGATTTAATTATATTAAAGCTTGCATGTCCAAGGCATGTTTAAGAGCTTTACCGTAAATATTTTTGGGAAAAAGTTCACATTGGTAAAACTTATGCACCTGAAAATATTATGTTCAAAGTTTTCCAAGCCAATCGAAACGCAACAAAGAAGTCTATGGATGAACTAATGTTCAAAAAGTTTGACAAAGTTGCAGTTAAAGGAGCGTATCAAGAAACATAGATAAAAAAGACTGTTCAATTTTGCAAATATGCACTTGCCATTTTAGTATTTCCAAGAAGTGATTATAAAGAACTAGCAGAACTTATACTCACCTCATTATGTACAAATATAAGCTTTAATGTTTATGCCCTGGAATAAGATTCCCATGCATATTTTATTGCAAAATTTATATATTATATTAAAATTCAAGTTTTAAGTAATTAATA